AAGAAAGGATACTCAGGTGTGATCTTCTTCCGATGGATCGCAAAGCATTAGAAACTTTGAAAACCGGTCCAATATCAGAGTGGCAGCGGCATGCCGCATCGCAATAATCTTCAAAATTCTGTCCCGGTAACGAATCTAATCAACAAACTTTATTTTTTGGAATAGCATTTCAAGGCGTACTTGATTTGAGCAAACAAAGTTTTCATGTGCAATTCAAAAATTGTATGTAAAACTATTAAAAAGCGCGGGACTTGGGCTTGTTCCAAGTCTTTTTTCCACTACTGTACCTTTGAATAACCCATTGCACAATCAGATTTGTTTTGTTTCAGGCCGAGTTGGAGCCACTGTCAAAGGAACCAAAAGAGGACATAAATGCTAACATCAGTGAACCTATGGTTTTGACCAGGAACGCAGCAAGAAGAAGGGCTCAAAAGGTCGACTAACCTGGAAGCTCACCCACATACACACACATAAATGCCTTCAACGCTGTATCCCAATTTGCTTGTATTATAGTTGTTTGCTTCTTAACGTTTTGGCTACTTTTTTTTGGGACTACGGGTCCGTCGTTCTAGTTTACCTTTCTGTGAATCGTACCTTTGTATAAGATGATTTTCTGCGTTCCTGCCATAAGCATCCATCATCCTACATCCCGTCATCACCTTCTCTAGTAGTATTTCATTCCATTCATTCCTAGGGCAATAGGTTCATTTATCGCACGGATATGCCTTAGGTAGGCAACTCACAGAGCATGCACTTTGTTGTTTGGGCAGGCAGCTTGCAGCTTTCATTCCGATAACTATGCAAAGATTGTCACTTTGTTGATGCGAAATTCATAATCGTCTTGTCATTCATAATAACCAAACCTCCCATATGAAGTTCAATTCAGGGAGCATATTTTAACAAATCATTCCATTGTTATAAAAATCAAATACTATCTATCTCGACCATTTTTTAGCCGCCATTCGTTTTGCGATAATAGCCAATCAGCCGTTCGTCTGTATGTTTGCTTATACTGCAGTACAATCGATTGGGCTTTGCTTGGATGTTTACTCTACGTAAATGTAATTAATACATAAAGAAAACATGTACAATATTTACACTCATGATACGATAACCCATAAAACCGCGTTCAGACTTCGCGATTACGCGAATGGATCGCACGATCGGATTGGTTGACTGGACCCGCGATCCAGTCGCGCGATCGCGTCTGAACGCGGTTGAAGACAATGTGAGATAACCAGCAAGGAGCACGAAAGGCTTTTCCGCTTATTTTTCCTTACGAGATGAATTATTGCCTATCTTGAAGTTTGTTGAAGTCGACTGCGCCTTCGCAACGATCTGAAAAAGTAGTGGGTTCCATGGATAAACATCGGTGCTTTTTCATATCAAATCGATTTTGTAGCGGAAACCAGTTGTGCCAGACGTGCAAAAATGTAAATTTACACGGTAATAATGAATATTTCTCTTCCTCGACTAGAATAGAACGTGATGTGGCTGCTGGTCGATGGGCACGTCGTGGAATGGGTCTTGACCATCATCACTTTTCAGCCTTGTTGTCGTCGTGGGTTCACCTTGGTTAGGGCGCTCTCGCTGTGTCAATAAGGGAAGATTCTGGGAGGCAGAGAAAAGGGGTGGGGGACAAGATTTGTAGTCACGAAAAAAACTAAGACGCCATTCACGGTGGAATGTTAAGGTGTGACCACATGACTCTTCTATCAGGTGGTGGATGTTGATTGATGTGGGTGTTCTCCAGGGAATTGACAATGAGCACTCACCATTTACAGTTATAACTGGAGTCAGCCGGGAAGTGTCATCGGGGATGGATTTGGTTCCGCTTTCAATCCATTGTTCTGCGAGTGGTGGGAAATGGGCTGGCGCTGCTCCAAAACCCACGCGCCGCTGATATGCTCCGATTGAATCCAGTGATAAGGAGTGTAAAGTTTATTGGTTAACTTTGGCTCCGATAACAGCTCAAAAGACCTTCGTTGTACACTTACCTACGACGTAGGTCCGTGTGGGGGGGGGTGAACGGGTGTTACCTGCGACGTGCATCCGTGAAAGGCGGGTTTAACCTGCGACGTCAATCCGTGTGGAAGATGTGGTGTAGAAGTATTCCACAGACATCGTTCGAAAAAGCACGGAAATGAGAGTGAAGCGTAGTTGAATGTGGGTAGATGCTGCTTGGGTCTCCGCCCGAAGCCCACAACTCTTTTATGTGCGCCCATATCGAAATCCAGCAGCGAACAACATGAATGGCAAGCTGTCTGTCGCGGCCCAGTGTAGATAACAACAACTCATCGATGGGCAGGATGGCTGGGGACGGGCGGTAACAGCCAACGTCGAGAGGGCCAAGTGAGGTGTGGTCAAACGCCCTCTCGCAGCCCCTTCCGCCAATGACGTTGGGATAACTGTGCTCTCCAGATATCGTGCCCACTGCCTTTATCCGAATGAGAAACGCTAACGGAGTCTGGAAACGGCCTCCAGTGCATCACTACCCTTCAGCCTCGTTCTCGCGCATTTTTTAAGCGAAGAAACTGCACATTAACGCGGCTGCGGACCCATTCATTCTGCGCATGGGAAGAACTGTCTTCGGAGATGACTGTGCAGTTTGCCTTTGTAGAGTGTCAGTGGGAGCTACTTAGAATCCCTTCATTCACCATCAGGGCTTGTTATCTATCGTTAGGGAAAGACGAAATGCAACAAATACGTCACGGCCACGTTCAGAATTTCCTACTCTTATTTGGCTCACACCCTCTCCAAATCTCTCATGCTACCTACCATCTCCCTGAATTATTCCTGACTTTCTGCCAGTTTCCCGGAAATGTTCTCCCAACCGCCTTTTTTTATCGCCCAAAAAAATGCCGTTGAGGTCGACGGCCGTGGGAACGAAATGCATACCAACCTTTCGCCTGGCGCCCGGTAAATATTCGTAAAGTTCGATCCTCCCCCCCCGCCCAACGCACAACTTCCCTTATTTCCATAGAAGTTTCAGAAATGCAATGGTTTGTAATCGTGTTCATGCAGTAACTTTGACACAAATGGTTTACCTGAAGTATCATTTCCGGGAAGCGTCTTCGTTCGCGAACAATGCAAGTCGTACAGAACATTGTCCCGAAATAAACACTGCATGCCTTCAAAATTCATCAAGGTTATTTACCTGGGCCATAGACGTATCGCACGAAAACATACCTTGTCAAGGCAAACAGATTGATTGCACAACGAACAGGATGAACCAATTACCAAAAAATCAGAGAGCAACGGTTTTCGGCCTTTCACTCGTCGAGGGGGCACGAACGGGTCCCTCATGTAAAAGACTGGTGAAGGATAGCTAAACGAGATGTTAATATAGGGAAATGGCCATGTTCCTAAGATAACTTACAATCCATCCGAAGCTTTGAGCTCGCCATAAAAACACTTTTCTGTCAAGTTACAGATACTACAATGAAACTGCACAAAGGGTTCCAGATTGCCGATGTCTTCATTCCCTAAAAGAACAATACAGCTTCATTTACCCTTAAAAATTTAGACGCTATTCCAGAAGTGCGGAGCACCATGGTGCTCAAAACTACAACTTCTTGCACCTCACCTTACCGGAGTGGCGATGAAATTGATGAGAACTGAGGATCTGTAAGCTCGGTCCATAAAACTCACCCTGTTCAGCTTTTCCAGTGTTGTTGAGACCGGAAGTTGATTCAATTGCTTCATCCACCACGGGTTTAGATCCACTGAAAAGCATCGGAAATCTAAGGTATGGGGATTGGAAATGGTTTATAAGGGGCAGTTCAGCAACGTTGGAAGGGGGGCCTTCTGCACTTTTGCTACCCATGGACGTGCCTAGGCGTGTAGAGAGCTATTTCATGAGTTCACAAGAGTTGACAGGTTTTACCATGGTGGCTTGACGAGCTTGCTCCAGCTTCACAAGAGTTCACAGGTTTCACCAGAGTGAGACTTGTAAACCGGAACTAGTGAAGCAGCGGAAGTGTAAAATGCCCCCCCCCCTCCTCCCGTCGCGGAACTGCGCCTTTATAAGTATTGAATAAATATCCAAAAGAAACTTGATGAAGTATTTTGTAGTTTCGTATGTCAAGCATGAGCGAATTGAAAGAATATCTATAAGTATTCTCCCAAATCTAAGAACTCGTTCAAACTATGCGTCAGCATTCTGAGCATGCGCCGGTGTTTTTAGCGATTAGAAAATTATAGGTGTCAATT